GTTGCTATGGATATAAATGGTGGCGTGCTCAGTTGCGGTTATTTTTAGCATCGCCGTGCCAATTTACTTGTGCAGCCCAGAGGCTCACACAAAAGAGAAGGCAGATTGCTGACTCCGGACCCTTTAAGGAATCAAAGGCAGGTCCGAACTTCCCTGGGGCAGCCGAGTCAATAGCAGCCTTTCCTTTGAGGTGTTTGCAGCATTAAAATGGCGTGGTGGGGGAGAGTTCATTTAACTCCTCGTGCTCAGCAGATATTCTAGACAACGAGCAAAGAAAGGGTTGCATTGGTCCCTGGTATGCTCAGCAATAAGTACCTGCAATATAGGGTTCCTTCTGAGGGTATGTCTACATGGCAGAGTGTTTTTGGAAAACCTTTGTCCACACTGCAATTGCATTCTTTCGAAAGAAAATCAAAAGAACAAAGGGGTTTTCCGGCGTTGGTAACAATTTGTGCTTCGGCCACTGCCGGCCCCAGCTAGAGCGCGCCTCCTGCCTCCTTTCTAGGAGGAAGAAGCCTTTTTCTGAAAGAGCTCTTTTGCAAAAAGGCGTGTGTGGACGGGGAGGAGGGAGTTCTTTCGCAGGACGAGGAAAGAGCACAGGTGCCCTGGTGGCCACTTCGCCCACAGTATTCACAGCTTACATGCGAGACAGCGTCCATTCAGCGTGGATGCTATCTGTCGAAAAAGCAGATCACTTTTTCAATGTGCTTTGGCAATGCGGACGTGCTCTTTTGGAAGACGTTTTTTGGAAGATCTCTCCCAGAAAAGCTTCTTCCGAAAGAAGCCTGCAGTCTAGACGCAGCCAGAGGCAGTACAGCAGGCAGGGCATTTAGTTCAGCTGTGCTACTTATATGGCCCCTGTTACCCCAGTACTGAGTGCCTCACAGTTGTTAACAAGCAGAGGCAGCACAGCAGGCAGAGCATTTAGTTCAGCTGTGCTTCTTATATGGCCCCTGTTACGCCAGCACTGAGTGCCTCACAGTTGTTAACAAGCGTGTCCTCACAACATGCCGACAAGAAGGGGCCGCGCGATTACTCCTGCTTCACAGTGGAATAAAGACCTGATTCTGCAACCACTGAGCTCAATAGCAACCCACTCCCCATTGACTTGAAACACAAGGGGGCTTTGCCTAGGTCCCATGAATTGAGCCTGCATTTCCCTAACCACTAGACCCACTGGTCATCATCAGCTGCTCAGTTGCCAAGCCAGTTGCATTGACTGAGATATAATCATGCATTACAGCCAACGCAGGGGGGTCAACAGGTCCCTCTGCCAGGAACACCATCCCAAATGTACATCTCGGGAAACTGAGGCACAGAGCAGTGTCATGGCTGCCCCAAGGCCACACACATCAGTACAGCGGGACTCAGAGAAACTCTGGCTCCTGTTCCCAGCCTCATTCTCTCACAACTCACTGCCTCGCCCAAGGACACCTTCAGCTCAGGACCCTGGGATGACAAAGCCGGGAGGTTACAAAGTGAGTGGTAAGTTCCCTCACTAGCTCTCCGATGCCGACCCATGCGTAGCAGGCTGACAAGGTTCCTTGTGTCTCTGCCCCAGGATGTCCTGGGTAAGGAGAGGGTCCCCTCAGAACTGCAGGCGCTGTGTTTTGCTGTGCCCTGGGTGAGCTCAGGTAACACAGCCCTACAGTTCTACTGCACGACCACACAGGGAGGTTTTCACTCCAGGGCTCCGACAGCTCGGACTAGCCGATGAATCGATAGCTGCCCTGCTGCTCCACAAGGCGATTGTGTCTCCTGCTCACGCCACGGGGCAGTCTCAGAACCTTGCCTGAAGGTTGCTAGCTGGTGCCTGCAATGTAACACAGGGAAGAAGGGATCTAGACAGACGCGGATGCTTGGCAAGGTTGCCAGTACAGTCAGTCGCTCCTGCCGTAGATTGGTTTGCGCTGTATCTCGCCTTCCAGGCGATTGCTCATTTATCCTTATTATGACAATGGCCAGGGCCCATTCCCTGATAAGACGGTCCCCATCAGGAGGCAGGAGGCGCACTCTAGCAGGGGCCGGCAGCAGACGAAGCACAAATTGTTGTCTGAGCTGTGAATTGTTTTTTCAGAGAGAGATTTATTGCATGTGCTTCCTCCCTGTGAGGCCTGGGTAGGTTCTGAGGGGCTAGGACAAAGCCCCCGTTCCTGGCCGTTAATAAACCTACCTCTGCCCAGCAAAGAATATTATTCTTGATTTTTCTGTGTCACGGTAGTGCCCAGGAGCCCAGTTATGGACCAGACCTTACTGCTAGTGAGTGGGATAGAGATGGGGGTGCAGGATATGCTGCATTGCCAGTAGATCCAGGGAAGTGATTATTCCCCTTTATTCAGCTCCGGTGAGGCCACACCTGGAGTATTGTGTCCAGTTCTGGGCCCCCCACTACAAAAAGGATGTGGATGCATTGGAGAGGGTCCAGCGGAGGGCAACCAAAATGATTAGGGGGCTGGAGCACTTGACCTATGAGAAGAGACTGAGGGACTTGGGTTTGTTTAATCTGCAGAAGTGAAGAGTAAGGGAGGATTTGATAGCAGCCTTCAATTTCCTGAAGGGAGGTTCCAGAGAGGATGGAGAGAGGCTGCTCACGGTAGTGACGGATGGCTGATCAAGGAGCAATGGTCTCAAGTTACAGTGGAGGAGGTCTAGGTTGGATCAGGAGAGTCGTGAAGCACTGGAATGGGTTCCCTAGGGAGGGGGTGGAGTCTCCATCCCTAGAGGTGTTTAAGTCTCAGCTTGACAAAGCGCTGGCCGGGTTGATTTAGTTGGGATTGGTCCTGCCTTGGGCAGGGGGCTGGACTTGGTGACCTCTTGAGGTCTCTTCCAGCTCTATGATTCTATGATCTAGGTGGGAGGGGGTGAGGTCTGAGTGGGAGAGAAGGGGCAGGAGCAGGCTTGGGGTAGGTTGTCTGGCCATGGGGAAGGGCGCGGGCGCAAGGGACTGGCATACCTCTCATGTTTGGGGCATTCCGAACAAAGTGTTGCTTTAGGACCAGCTTCTGCGGGACACCAATGTGCCCCTACGGCATCTGCTCCTTATCCCTTCAAACTCATTTATTCTCAGAGACCTGCTCCGCAAAAGGCGCAATGCAGCCGACGTGCTGTGCACACCCCTCATTTTGTGTGCGTATGCGAAGGCGCGAGCTAGAGAATCGATTCCCCCCAGGTCTGCAAAGTCACAAAGCCACGGTGGGATTTTCCTGCGTGGCACCAACTTGCTTTGCTCCCCCGTCAGCAGGGCAACGGACAAATCAAAGTTGGTTTCGGGTCCCTCCCGTGGCACAGGTGGCTTTGGCACAGCACTCACTTGATCTGACTGCGGGGTGTGGGGTGATTGGTGGCAGGAGGCAAGCCGAGTCTTTGCTGGTTTTTAATTTGCCGCGTTGTGTCCTTCAAGCGATTTGAATAGTAATTAAAATCCAGTCGTGGAATGGATGGAGAGTGTGAGCCTGAGGGAAAGCTGGAAGTCAAGGAGTGGTTGGCTTTCTGTGGCGCTGCTGTCTTGCCCTGGGGTTTTCTTTTTAGCATCATCTGCATTTAAAATTAAACTGTGCTGCCCCTGTTCTGCTCCCCTTCTAGCTCTCTTCTCTTCATGACAGCGAATGGTGCCTGAAGCGTGCTGTTGTGCCACACAGGTGACAGACTATGCAAAATTCACGCTCTATTTCCATTGTTCCCAGTTAATCCAGCCCTGATCCTGCATGCAGTGCAGTCCAGGACATGAAGCTGGATGCCGGGAGACCCTGACTGTCATGGACCTATGGGTTGATCCTGACCAAGTCACAGCCTCGCTGTGTGCCTCAGTTTCTCTATCTGTAAAATGGCGCCTTTCTTTTGGAGAGCCTGTTGAGACACAGGGGTTCCAAAGGGCTGGGTAAAAGCTACAGATTATTCATCTCTTCAAGGCTACTGTCAGCTCCATCAAGGGCTAGATTGAGAAGGGGGAGAGCGTTGGCGCCTTATGGCCACTATAAGCACCACGCCAATTCACAATCCCTGCTCAGTGCCTGGAGGCACCCAAGGTACTGCTGTTTCCACTGTTAACAGCCTGGAGGTGCCTAGGGATGAGCAGAGACACCAAAGTCCTGGCACCACCCAACTGGGAGGCGCCTATGGCACACCTAAGCCCAGGAGGGGTTTACGAAGCCGGCGTTCACCTGCTTATTTCACTTTCGGGGGCTGACTTGGGAGTTAACTGGCCACCATACGTGGCCAGTTATATGGGCCCAGGCACGAGGAATATTCCTGGCCTGGGGCCTCTGCTCTACCCCCTGTGAGCATCTCCGATTTAAACCCACTGGGGGCCCTGACACCACCCCTGGCAGTGCAGTGGGGCTAGCGTGGCTTCCTGCTGCTCAGCCAGCGAGGCTGCCAGCACGTCCCTGTGGCAACGGGTGGGGGGCGTTCTGGGAGCAGTGCGCCGAGACACCCTCCCTCTGCTCCAGGGCCGGTGGGACGTGCCCACAGCCATGCAGAGTGAGTGCCATGAAGTGCTTTGCTGTGTTGCTGGTGGCAGCGGCCCCCCCGCCCCCGCCTTTCAAGCCCCTCATTCACCAGCACCAAATTCCTGGGGGAGTGGTTGCTGCGTTTTGAAAGTTTAGCAACTGGAGAAGCAAAATTGCCTGCTCTGGGCTGGCAACAGAACCAGGCTCCTTGTGTGATATCCTTGACCCACCTGCACAGGTTTGGAGTGAGCACTGTAGTCTGAGCTCACAGCAAGGGTCCAGGCTGGGGGCTACCTTGCCTGGACAGGCAGAGCCCCCTATGTTGCCATAACGCCATGAATCTATTTGTCCCCATAAGGAACAACTAACACAGTGTTCACAGGACCTGGCAATGGCAATATGTCTGACGAGGAACCTGGCAGGGTGGAATTTGTCCTCAGAGTGAATGGGCAGACCAAACCTGCACACTGTATGGGGTTAATGGAGCAGGGACAAAACAGAGAGGCTGTCTCATCGCTTCCAGACAGAATAATGATAAAGAGAGTCACGTACCATTGACGGTCAGAGACACCTCCCGCTCACCGGCGCCCACCCGCGGAACCACTGCGCGGCAGACGTATTTCCCTGCATCCTCCTGGCGGACACTTTTTAATGTTAACGTGTTCTCGTTGCTCAGGACCTGTAAGAGAGGAAAAGCCTGTTTTAAAGAAGGGCAATGTGAAGTCCTCCGGAAACGTGCACTTGTTCTGAAAAACAGAGCCATATTTACATTCCAGGGCTCTGGGGCCAGCCCCAGTAGTACAGGTTTGCCGTAACTGTAACCCTATTCATTACAGCGGGGCAGGAAATGGCTTTCCCATCTCATGTACATTTTCTAGAGCTCAAAGGTATTCTCCACCTAAATCAGGAAAAAAAGTTGAGGTCTCAAAACCTTTAACGAACCAAAGCACTGAATTTTACTTCCATTCATGTCAATACAAATGTTTTGTTTAGATAATTTCAAAATACTTCCTTTTGCTATACACCTTTTTCCTTTTTTTTAACCAACTTTTTTCAGTCTAATTAGTGTAAATTTTGAAATAAAAAAGTCGTTTCCAAACTGGAAAACTAAGATTTTGTGTTTCGAAAATATCAACACATTTTGAACGTTTTTTTACCCAAAAATGTTTTGTCAGGAAATATGTTGAAATTGATCTTGTTTCACAAAACATTTTGGTTTCAAAGCGCTGGCATTTTTCAATGAACAAGTGTTATGTGGAAAAATTTTGGACCAGCACCAATACTAACTGTAACTCTCTGTCTCCCTCTAGTGACTGGATCATATGCAGAGTAGTTCATGACTTTGCTACTGCCTCCCATTGGTTCATTTGAAGAATAATTCTGAAAAGAAAGGTTTTTTTAAAAGTGTTGATGCCTAAAGGCTTGGTGGTACATACACATTATAACCGGGTGCCAAAATAAAGAGAGAAAAATGGCACAAGCACACACAATTTCCTAATTGTTTTGGAATCCTCCCCATTTTTCAAAATTTTTTTAATTTTGAAATTTCAAAATTCAAAACTTTCCACTTGCTCTAGAATTGGTGAAGACAAGGGAAGGAAGTTTGGCACGTACTTTATTTAATTATTCGTCTTTTTATCCTGAAATTTACTCATTTAAAACTGTTCGCCATTTTCATCGCTGTTTCATCTGAAACACTTCCGCTAGTTTTGAGAATAAATAACTCTGGGAAAATGTGCAAAGAGCTAATCACCCAATAATTAGTCTGAGAGGCAGAATGTCTTTTAGCCCACTCACCCACAATAGGTGACCCCTGTCAAAGACAAATGACACTGGAATCAGAAAGGGATGCTGACTAGACAGTTGCTACATGGGAATTTTGGGAAGCATGAGAGTGCAGTGTGTTTCTGAATGGCTGGCCCATGACTGAGACCAGTCCCTTGAGATTAAACAGTAGCCCTGTTGCCTTGATGCAGTTGCCCTTATAGGAGCTTGCTACAATCCTATTCAAAGCTTGATATATACGTGCCCGCAAGAACAGAGTGTGATTCCTTGCCCCCGTTTAATGGTTGAGTAAGGACCCACTAAACTGACCACTGATTGTGCCCCTATCAACTCCAGGACTCCACTGGGTCACAAGGAGTAAGGGAAGCTGGGAGAGTTTTTCCGGTCAATTCCCCCCCAGTGGGGATGCCTAAGTAAGTTGAACTAAGGTACATTGACTCCAGCCACACTACAGGGCTATAAGTCACCCCGGTGTGCATCTATTCCATACTAAAGTCATTGATGTTTGTAGGAACTGATGTGTTAGTCCTCCCATTCCCCGCTATGAGTCGTGCGAAACACTCCCCCCAATTTGCTTAAATGGAAGTCAGCCGTGGGAAAAAAATGCCCCGCTTTAAGTTGTTTCGCTATAAGTCCACGTTTTTTGGAACGGATCTTGGACTTATAGCGAGGATTCCCTGTATTCACATTGCTTCAGTTGCGTATCTTAGTTCAGCCTTCTCCCGGAGTGTAGACCTGGCCTCAGTGAGCTCCAAGAAGGGCTGTGCCTTCTAATGGGAGGCTCCCAGACTACAAGGAAGTGCCAACGAAAGCCCCCAGACATAATGGATGGCTTAGCTGGAGAAGCCCAGCATCAGAGCCATGCCAGCTGGAGGACTTCATGCAACCCTGTATGCTTGGCCTGTGGCAAGCAGGTGCATGGAGTATGCAGCACCACCCTTTGGAGCCGGTAGGGCCGAGAATCTGCACTCTTGCCATGTGGCGAGGAATGTTTGCTGCTTGCGATGGAAATGTTACCGCACATGTGGGAAGAGGAGGTCCCGCATGTTTGGAGAGGGGTCTATTCCCCTGATGATGTGAGAGCAAATAAGTAGATGTAATTATGTTTTATATTCTCTGTCCAATCTGTAACTCCTATTAGTGCTAATGCAAGCGAGGCAGTGTGCCGAGAAGAGAGCAGCCCCCCGCTTGCGTTGTGCATGCTTTGCTGGTCAAGCTAATGATCTCAGAATATGCCCTTTATGTACATCATAGGGACTCTTCAGTATGCTGGAGGGGAAGGGAAACCAAACGAGTTCACTGCTGTATTTGCTGAGATGCAGTCACAGAGCTTCTCACCCAAGGATTTCAAAGCACCTTTCAAGCACTGACACAGCCCGTGGGCATGCTATGGGGGGGTTATTATCCCCACTTTGCACATTGTAGACCTGAGATGCCCAAGATAACAGTGGCAATGGCAAAGCTGGGAACACAACCCTGAATCTAGCCCTGCTCTAACCACTATCTCACACTGTCTCGCTAGTAAAAAGGGTCACACTCTCAGATCTAGGGGCTAGTCCAACCCCCCAGGGCCAGGGGACGAGCAGAGCATGTGCTGCCTGTCACGTACAAGCTTCTGGTTTGAGATCCTCTTTCCTGGCAACCTGGGCAACTGCATCAGCTCGGAGTCTACGACCCTTCGACGGAAACATGTTGCAGTCTGGAGCATTTGACGCGCTGCCCTACTGCCCTGTCGGTGCAATTAGCAGGTGTACTAAAGCTTGAAAAGTGCTGAAGCAAAGTGGTCTGATGCAGGCAGTCAGCAAAATCCAGCGTCGGCAGCAGTTAGAAATGTGAGGAGTGTAAACCAACTAGTGGCTTTTGGAGTCAAGTGTTTCTAATTACCGATGGCTAGTTTCCCACCTCTGCCATTGTACCTGTCAGAGTTGGAGGGGGGCCAAATGGGACTGGTGACAATTTTCCTTGATAGCAGGGAGGGACCACTCCACACGGGTGGGAGAGAGGCAATGCCTATTCGGCTGTTAGGGTCTGTTTCTTTTGGCTGTTTCATGTGTTTGCTTTGTGGGCACCTCCAGCAAGTCAATTACTGGCACTGCCGGGGGGCTGATCTTACAGCCGGTTCCTCCAGTCATTATGGGAATTTACGCTGATGTTTAGCAAAACCCTTCATGCCCCTTAGCAACATTATACACACAGTGAAGGCACAGCATTTGCGACGGCTGCGTGTTGCTGAACTCCAGATCAGACTAGCCATCGGGCAGTTTCTAAGAGCTGCAGCAGCAGGTCTGAGGGCGGGCAAGGTCTCTGATCCTGAGGGGTGTATCCATTGGCTGGAGGCACCCAGATCTCTCTAGCTGCTTGGGTAGGGCAGGAAGAGCGAAGCTGGCCACGTCAGACCTGATTCTGCCCCTTTTGCTGTGGTGAAGGTTACTCACTATGACCTCAAAGAGCAGCGGGGGAAGTTTGGGTGGGACAAGAACACCGGAATACTGGGATTCCTGGGCTGCACAGACCAAAGGATCATGTGGCTGGAGTCCTGTCTGTGACAGTGACCAGACCCCACGGCTGTAAAGTTCTGATGAATAACACTAATGTTGGTGTTAGTTTAAACCCACCTGAGACGATGTCTAGAGCTGCCTTGGACAACTCCACCCACATCTGCTGTACGTTGACTTGGAAGAGGCAAAGGAAAGGGGAGACTGTACCCCTCCACGGCTGGACCAACCCGTTTTTAACTCCTCCTGGCTCCTACCGCACAGAGCAGATTTACTGCTGTCTTCCTCAGCCCGGCAGCTAAGGGCCATGACTCACACCATCAGGTCTTCCAAGCCTGTCATCACGTCCCAGAAAACGGCCTCGGTTGAATAAACTCCTCGCCAGGAGTCCCTTCCCTGCAACTGTCTGCGTCTCCTGTCCAGAAGCATGTCTGTTGCCACTTTGGGACCTGGGAGAGGCCTGTAGTTCCACAGATACCCGAGTCATAGCTGCAGATACACATTGTGTGTCCATGAAGAGCTGGACCGTTAGGCACTGCCACAATAAACATGCCTACTAACCATAATAATTGGAGCCGGGCACCCCAAATCAGAGGTCACCTTTGAAAAAGTGTCTTTAACACCTTTCTGCATCTTCTTAGCTTCACTTCACTCAGCCTTCCCAGCTGTGAAGCTCTCTGGTCATGATCAGCTGAGATCAGCATGTTTATTGGGGCAGATCCTGACTTGCAGACCTCCAGGTGACAAAGCCACTGTGGATGGAGCCAGGACTTCGGTGTTTGACCCTTAATCTTAACGCTTCCGATCCTTGATTATGAGCAATTCAGAGATCCCGAGGTTGGAAGGGACTGTTGGGTCATCTACTGTGACTTCCTGCACCACCCGGGTCAAAGAGCGGCACCAGAATATTTCCTGTTTCCACTAGAGCAGGTCTCTTAGGAAAAAAAAGTCCAATTCCAAACAAAAATTGCTAGTGATGGCAAATCCACCCCAGCCCTGGGTGAGTGGTTCCCAAGATGGGAAGGGATGAATGAATTCAACTCAAGATTCCCATGTGTGTCAGGTAATTATCTGGAATTCTCAAAAGAACCGTTTTAAATAACGCGGAAGCGGCTGAACATGGCCCAACCTCCATTGTCTTCAATGGAGCCTGGGTTTCACCACAGCTGCTGAGGGTCTCTGAGTTTGTGGGTCTGGGGAGTTAGGAGCATGAGTAGCAGTGGGAGAACCCAGCACTCCTTGCAGGGCTTGTCTTCCAAGGGGAGAAGCTATCCTCGCTGTCTTCTGCAAAGCGCGCGGGTGGACCACACTGGGAGCTAGGCAAGGTGAGCCTGCGGCCTGTCAGTTATCCCTGTCACAGAGCACTGGGCAGTGCTGGCTAACCCGTGGGTGCTGAGGTGTTAGTGGCATGCCCACAGAGCAACAGGAAGCACTGTGCTCCCACAACGCTGGGGATTTCAATGGTCTTTCTGGAAGCCAAAGTGCTGGAGAGCCCCGGAACTTCGTTAACTAGCAGGCCGAGCGTCGGGGAGGTTAGAAAATTCCTATGCTGCTCCCAGGTCTCCTCCCTGTGGAAGTTCCCAGCCTTTCTCTAGCCAGGCTGGCGTGTCCACCCCTCGCCGTGGTTAATGGCGCAGAGAATAGAGTAGGCAAAGTTTGGCTGTGCAGAGCTAGCATGGCCTGCGAGCCCTCATGGTACCTTGAAGCGGGGGTGTTCAGATAAGTGCTCTCAGGTGAAGGAGGGCCACAGAGTTTGAGGCCAGAACGCACCAGGACAATCACCACCAGATTTCACTCAGCTGTTCCTGCCTGGAGTCCATAGGCCTGGCGGAGCTCCCATCGAAAGAGCTGTACCTCAAATAGCACCGCGCCAGCATGTGAAATTGTGCCACCATCCTCAGGAGCCTGTCACCCAGGAGCAGGCTGAGGGATTTTCTCTGGTTGTATCTTCACTCCAAGTCAGGCTGGAAGATGCTTCCTGTACAGAGCTCTACACCTAGAAGGAGACAGCTGCGGCCCATGGACACACTGCACAAGGTTTCAGGATCTGAAAGCCAGGCACGACGGGGGAGTCACAGAATCACAGGGCCAGTCTCCTGCACTCAGGCAGATGGAGGAGGGAGAAGAATCCTACATTAAATCAGCCCTGAGGAGCTTTCCGACATCCAGAGAGAGAGAGACCAGCCTACCTGAGTTCAGAGGCGGTGAGAGGGCCGTAGGGCACTCCACTAATAAAGGCCCGGAGATTTCATGCTCTCCGAGGACAATTCATCTAAGAGAAACAGCCAGTGCTTCAACCCCCTGCTGCAGAACATTGCAACGGGCTCTGTCATTGCCTCCATCATCCGGTCCGGGTACTGCATTGTCTGGAGCCCAGGGCCCAGGCATCCCTTTGCAGCCTCCGAGCATCGGCCCTAGAGGCTTAGCCACGGCTTCTGAGCCTTGGAAGGAGCGATCACAATGTTAAACACGTCAATGATTTATAAAGTGCTACCTGCCAGCCAGAGGTTAACTGTAGTTTCGGCCTCTGCTTAACTCAGACACTGCTCATAATGTGACTCAATTCTGCGTCTATTAGGGCTCCTTTATGAAGATCTCCTGTGGGCAAGAGAACATGAAAGTGCAGAGTGCACCATGGAAACCGCAGCTTCTTGCCCTGGCCACTCAGACTTGATTGGGCCAGTTATAAAAACCAGCCACCTTGCCCTCTGCCACAGCTGAGAGGTTCTCCCCTTCTTTTCTTTCAAGTGGATTGATTTTCCTTGATTTTTCTGCTGCCTGGTTGCTGTGGGGTGGGACGAGGCACATACGCCAATGGCGCTGGGAGGTTCTAAGGCAGGAATGGTGTGGACACTCAGGCACGGCTTCATGGGGCTACACTGGCAGCTGTTCCTTGTACTCCACTGACTCCAGTCTGGGAAGCACAGAATCCTTCAGCCAGTCTGACCAGCTGGGTTAGAGGAGGGCAGAAGCAAGAGAGCAGGGTCTCTTGGGGACTGTGCACCTGGGACAGGACTCATGGTCCAACAGTGACCCAGATAACTGCAAAGGGACACCCCACTTCATCTGCCCATAATGGCACTAGCTACCTGCCTCACGCCTGAGGAGGATTCACAGACCTATAGAAGGGTGGAGACAGGAGGATGGAGGGCGGGGTGGGGGGAATGGTGATTTCCTGGAGGAGCTGAGAGGAGGGCTTGGCAGGGCCACTTGGAGGATGGTGAGCGAGAACTCGTGCGTCACAGGTCGCTATGTAGGGCATGCATCTCACTCTTGGCACTGCTCTGGAAATGCTTGTGGGAAAGCAGCAAGGGCATTTATTCAGACAAACAGGTACATAAACCCCTTCCAAGCCCCCCGCCCACGGCACACACAGCCCTCCCACTGAGGAGGTGATGAGAGAAAGAATGGGCCACGTGTGAGAGATGTTAAAGGTACGCGGGCACCCTGGTGATAAGGGCAGCGTAAGAACGGGCAGTCAAAGCTTTATTGTCTGTCATGTTCGGGGCATGGAGGTGCTGGTTGGCCAAATGTTCTGGTTAACGCAGAATCCGGTGTATGGGAGGGAGCTCTGGGCTTAGTTAGGGGGATGGGGAGAGGGCTTTGGGCGGTGGGTGAGGGTTCTGGGGAGAAGGCAGAAATGCGGGGTTCAAAGTGCAGAGGGGGATCTGGGATGGGGCCAAGAGCCGGAGTGTGGGAGAGGAGAGGGCACTGGCCTGGGACGAGGGGTTTCCAGGCTAAGGCCGAGGGGTCCAGAGTGTGCGAGTGGGTGCAGGGTTGGGGCTCAGGGAGAGAGTTAGGGTCTGGGAGGGCTGGATTTGGGCACTCACTTCAGGAGGCGCCCTGCAAATGGAGACATGTCTCTGCCACTCCTAGGTGGCTCGGCAGGCACCGCCCTCGTAACTCCTATTGGCTGCAGCTCCCATTGAGGTCAATAGCCCCCCTCTGCAGGACTGGGCCATAACTTGTCTAGTTTAAGTGCAGAGACCCGCACCTCTCCCTGCTTTGGGCGCTCCTCTTCTTAGAGCTGTGGTTTATTGTTTGCAAGCACCGATCTCTGCTGGGGCCCCGAGCTAGACCCTGCACTTAGCAAGAGACAGTCCATCCCCCAAAGAGGTTACCCTGGCAACAGACTCTCAGAAGTGATGTGAATTGCCCAAGATGACACACTGGGTCAGTGGCAGAGGCAGGCACAGAACCCAGCTCGTCCGAATCCCAGTCCAAGGACACGGGCATGCGCCCAGCATGGACCTCCAGGCTCACCCCTCTTCAGAATGTAGTGCAGCACGCTGCAGGGAGAGAGATTCTTACCACGCCTGAGCCCCGTTTCATCCAGACGATGGTCAGCGATGGGTTCCCCGTCCAAGCACAGCTGAACACTGCGTCTGACCCCAGGTCGACAAGGAGGGACTGCGGTTCTGTTGCCATCCTGGGACCGACTGTGCATAGGAGACAAACAGAGAAGGGGCCCGTGTGGAGAAACTGAGGCAGGCCCACTGGCCAGCACCATCAGCCTGAGCAGTCACAGGTCACAGGATTAGCCAATCAGAAGCCTCAAGGCCAAAGGGGCTCTCAGGATGAAGCAGCCCCGAGCTGCCATCACCTCTCCCCTCCCTGGAGCTTGCTCTCTTTTCATAGGCTGCAAAGAACTAGAGAGGTCCCCAGGGGGACCGGCCTGCCGTGATGGAGATTCCACACGCCCCCTTGGAAGCTTAACTATGGACTCATTCGACAGCTCCTCCTTGTGTCTCACCTCAAGTTCCCTTGCGGCAGGTTATGCCACTTAGGGTATTTCTACACTTGCACCCTCTTTCGAGAGAGGGATGCAAATGCAGCTGAGCAAAATTGCAAATGAAGCTCGTATTTGAATTTCCTGCACTTCATTTGCATAATTCCGGCCCACTGTTATTTCGAAATACCCTATTTCGAAATAACAAACTCTGTGTAGACGCGGTCATTTCAGGAGAACACCCTTCTTCCGAAATAATCCTTATTCCTCATAAAATGAGGTTTAACAGTTATTTCAGAAGTAAGGTGTTCTCCCGAACTAACTGCATCTACACCGTGTTTTGTATTTCGAAATAGCGCTATTTCGAAATTGCGCCATAACGCGATTATGCAAATGACGCGCGGGATCTTTAAAACCCGGCTTCATTTGCAATTTCAAATGTCTTCATTTGCATCCCTCTATTGAAAGAGGGTGCAAGTGTAGACATACCCTTACTCCTTTTCCTACCTCCCACAGACCTGAGGAGCCACTTATCCCCATCCTCTTCAGAAGAGCATAGCTGAGGACTGTTCGCAGGTTTCCCCTCAATCATCGTGTGTCAAGACTACACATGCCCAAGTTTTTAACCTTTACTCATAGGTCAGGTTTTCAAAACCCTGGATCATTTCTCCTGTTCTCCTTTGGACTCTCTCCAATTTATCCACATCTTACTCTCAGTGCGGCACCCAGAACTGGACACAGCGGAGGCCTCCGCAGTGCTGAGTAGAGGAGGACACTTACCTCCTTTGTCTTACATCCGACACCTCTGTTAATACACCCCTAAATGGTATTAGACTTTTTTGCAACTGTACCACATTGTGACTAATATTCGATTTGTGATCCACCATAACCCCCAGCTCCTTTCCAGCAGTACTGCCACTGAGCCTGCTGGTCCCCATTTTGAAGCTGTACCCATTTTCATTCCTAAGTGAAGCCCTGTGGAGTTGGGGTTGCCTGTCTGTGTTGAATTTCACCTTGTTGAATTCAGACCCATTCTCCAATTTGACAGGATCATTTTGAATTCTAACCCCGTCCTCCAAAGTGCGTGCAGCACCTCCCAGCTGGGGGTCATCTGCAAATTTTATAGGCATCCTCTCTACCCAATTAGCCGTCATTTATGAAAATATTGAATAGAATCAGACCCACGTCTGTGGGCCCTCACTTGATTGACACTGCTGGTTTGACACGACAGAGTCATTCATGAAAATATTGAATAGAATTAGACCCACGTCTGTGGGCCCTCACTCGATTGACACTGCTGGTTTGACACGACAGCTATTCTTTGACAGCTTTGGGATTGCCAAAAGCTGTCTAGCAATTGGGATTTCCAATTCCCATTCTCTTTAAGCAACCCCAATGGGGGTGAATATAGGAGCCAATTCTCAGCTGTTCCGTGTTCCTAAGGATGCAGAAACAGAGAGGAACTTACAGTAGACATCCACTGTCCTGCTGATGTTGGTACTGCCCAAAGCATTGGTCACCTCACAGGATACTGGCTCAAAGAAGAAAGTGTGGTCCACAATGGTCTCATAGGAGTCACCTGATGCTTCCTTTATAACTTGGCCTTTTTTTGCCCACCTGTAAAATAAAAAATAGCAGGGCTGTCTTATTCTGGTAGGTCTCTTAGGCCGTGTCTACAGCTGGAGATTATTTCAAATGGACTAAGTTTGACTTCTAGGCACCTATTTTACAAATTCGAAGTTCTCTGTCCTCACTACAAGGAAGAATCCAATGTAGTTTGAGGTCTGTTAATGTGGATGCGCTACCTTGAACTCAGAGCCACAGGAAACACCCAGGGAAGCTGCAGGAGGCCTCCCAGAGGCCAATAAATTCAAATTAACAGCACTGGAGCATCCGTACTAACATTTTTTAGGACTTACAAGTTCGGGAATAGTGTAATTCCTCATGAAAAGCAGGACTACAGAGTTTGAATTCCTCTTATTCTGGAATAATGAGCTTGGTAGTGTGGATGCATCACTTACAGATTTGACTGGGGTATGTGTCTTATTTCGGACTAAGGTCCTAATGTAGACCAGGCCATAGACAGAGAAGGTGGGTGAGGTGAGATCTTTTATTGAAGCAACTTCTTTTGGTGAGAGAGACAAGCTCTGGAGCTACACAGAACTCTCCCTTAGGTCTCCTGAGTTTTCTGTAGCTAGTGAGCTTGTTTCTTCCACCAACAGAAGCTGGTCCAATAAAAGGTTTTCTCTCACCCACGTTGTCCCTCATGTTAGAGACCAACACGGCTGCAACAACGCTGCAAACAACAATGGAAAATCTCACAGACAAATATCAATTCCTCCGCTCCTAGCCATGACTTCTGATAACAAGGAAGTGCTGAGCTGGTAGGACATTCCTCGTGTCACAAGATCCCAAGGGCCAGTACCAGGGCATGCTTCTGAGAATGCAGCCGTCCCAAGGACTGCAGCGGCTGGGCAATAGCATTATGTAAAGCATTTAGGAAAGGAAGGTTTGAAAAATTGTGTAGCCGATTTAAGCAGAATAGACCGTGCTTCCGGTGGTGCAAGCAGAGGAATGATACCAGAGGTGGAGATCAGGGTAACACACAAAAAGGCCCACAGAACCCTGAATGCTCACAAGAGGTCAGGTCAGTGGCTGTATTTGGTGATGGAGGAGCAATTGGTAAGGTGGCAATGCCGAGCTACACGCTTCTGCTTTACCCCGTCTGTGCCCCTCACCGCCTCACACAGGGGCCTCAGCTGTGGGCGGCACAGAGTCCAGGCACGGGCCGAGGGTTAGGGGCCCGGAGCCTGCCATAGAGCTGCTGGGACCCCGTCTGTCAGTAGATCTGCCAGTGACTCGGACCTCGGGGCTGACAGCAGAGCCTGCTGGGCCAGTGGCAGGGACCTCAGGCAGAAGCAGGACTGGGAGCTGTGGCCCATAGAGATAGTAGCCAGGATCCTGGGAAGCAGCGGGGCCCCCAGGTGCAAACTGGTGGCTGGGGGCCTGGCATGGGGCACAAAATCAGGGAGGGACTTCAGCACCCCCTCCCACCCTACTTCCCATGCGCATGGTTGTATTTAGGCTTGAAGGATTTGATCCCTAATCAGTAAATGCTGGTGAAGATACCGCATGCACACAAACCGACGGAGAACTATTTCCATCAACGACAATCGAGAGGCACAGAGAGGCAGAGAGAGAAACGTGCTGTGTGGGGATCTATAGGAGCTGTACTTAAGGATGTTTACTTTGAATGTGGTGACACCCGTTGTTGTAACGCTCATAGAGCTTTAACTCTTTGAACGTCTGTCTACTGTTAACTAACTAGTCTGCCCCCCTCTGACGTGTCTCAGTTCTCCACTGCTCTGAACCTTTAAGTGGACAGAAGCACAGAAAGAGGCTTAAAAATAAACATTGATTTTGTTCCTTGAAATGATATGCAATGAAAAGGGAATTCTGCCATCTGGGAGGGGGCACCTGCACGATCCCTATGTCCCCCTAGCCCCAGGTTGGGGTTTTCCATCTGGACTGACAGGGTGTGTCTAGACTACAGGGGTTTGTCGACAAAACTATACCTGCGTCCACACTGCCTTTGAGTTATGTCGACATAACGTCGACAGAACTCAGCAGTTTTGTCGACGTATGTAAACCTCATTCTACGAGGAATAACGCCTTTTGTCAACAGAGTTCTGTCGATAGAAGGCGTTATTGCATCTACACTGTCCTTTGCATCCATACTGTTATGTCGACAAAGCGGCTTGCTTTGTCGACAGAACTGGCTGTAGTCTAGACGCTCTTTGTCAACAGAAGCTTTGTCGACTGTATCTGTTGACAAAACTTCTGTTGACAAAACCCTGTAGTCTAGACATACCCTATACCCTATAGTTGTTGACAAAACTATATCTGTGTCTACACTACCGCTGAGTCAGTTGTTGACAAAACTATACCTGTGTCTACACTACCGCTGAGTTCTGTTGACATAACGACAGCTCCTATAAGCGTCTGGACTGGAATGCCCAAACCGGAACCCCCTGCATTCTGTGCTAGGGAGCTGAGGGCTTGTGTGCAGCAGGGCTTTTTGTATCAATGCGGTTACACCAGTGCAGCACCCCAGCACAAATGTTCTGCACTGGCACAAACATGACTTGCCCCACCATGATTTGCCCTGCTTCTAAGCCTGTGCTGCGCACCATGTCCTAAGGTGGCTGTGTCTCAGCAAGGCCATCGATGGGTGGGGCAGGAGATCCATGGGCTGCTTGCTGCCTGAGTCTCACTCCAGCAACACAGAGTGACCTTTGCAGAAGAACATAAGCTACCACCTGTGTTCGGACATGATCATACGTAGCAGCGAAGGCTGAGCAGTGCAGAGGTGAAAACACCAGGCTGAACCCCCAGTTAGATCGTCACTGGGATCATGATTATGAGGATTTCCTCCTAGTCCTTAACATGGCAGTTTCTGTTCACAAAACTGCCACACACGGGGACTGTCCATAACAAGGAGGCTGCAGATCAGGACTGAGAGGGTGCAAGGCAGGAATAGTAGGGGGGGTTCCAGGCCAGGATGGAGGCATCTTGGCAGATCCAGTGGTAGGGGGGAAACTTATTCAGAGCCATTAGTCTCTAGCTTTCATCAGCACCACACTGACCCTTCATTCCTTCTGGTCCCCCATATTAAGGTGACCAGATGTCCTGATATTATAGGGACAGTCCTGATATTTGGGGCTTTTTCTTATATAGGCGCCTATTCCCCCCTTCCCCCCCAACACTCGGTCCTGATTTTTCATACTTGCTATCTGGTCCCCTTCCCCCATATGCATTATGCAGCCCCTGCACTGAGATTTAAACCATTTGCAAGTTGCACCACATCCCAGCAAACATCTCAGTGCTCCTTTACTGGGGCAGCAAACACCTCAGTGCTCTTTACTGGGGCAGGCTTCTCCTGGGAGGTTTTTGCCGTGAGAAACACCTTTCGCTTGGGCGCAAACGCTTCAAACTTGCAAACGCTGCAGAATCAGTGGCGGTGGAAGCTGCTAACCAGTCTCTGAGGGACTAGACCATCTGTAGCGCGGGCTCCTGCAGTGAGCCTGCCAGGTTCATGCCTCTATTCATTGAATCCATGCAGCGTTAGCAGAACCTTTCTGCCTCTAAAGTTAATTTCAGATAGGCCGGTTTTCCAAAGGCACTGAGCACCATGGCACAGAGGTGGCAAGTGCATGTGTTAGTCAAGGGTGTGCTGGCAGGATGTGTGTGTTTGTGTGCTTTTGGCATGCTGAATTGCTCGATGCACAAACCATCAGGACCACAGATGAACCGAGTGTGGTGCCTCCGTTGTGTAATCTCTAGTATGTCTACACAACAGCTCAAAAGTCGAACTAAGCTACACAACTTCAGCTACGTCAATTGCGCAGCTGAAGTTGAAATAGCTTAATTCGGCTTTTGGCGCTGTCTACACAGCAGGAAGACCGAGTTAGAGCACTCTTCCTCCGACTGCCCTCACTCCTCGTACAATGAGGATTGCAAGAGTCAGAATAAGAAGTCCTCCAGTTTGACATTATTTTGAAATAATGGCTTGTAGTGTAGAAACGCGCTGTGTTATTCCAAAACACCACCACTGTGTAGACGTGGCCTCGTAGATATTTGTCCATGTTGCAGCACTACAGCATAGCTATCCGTCTGTATGCATGAGATGCGCCAGCACGTTGCAGAATGGGATGGGAGGCGGGGGGTGGGGGGTTTGCTGGCAGAGGTTCTTGCCAGAGCTGGAGCAGCAGAGGCTGTTACGCAGGTCAGGAGCAGGGTGCATTGGATGTTTGTGCACTGCCTGCCAGTCAATGCTATCAGCCTTTCACTATCAAAAACTCTACCCCTCATGCTCCCCCCCTTCTCTTTTTTTAATCAAAGGAAACTTTATCCCTTTAAGGCAGTTGAAATAACATTATACTGAAAAGCCAAGCTGGCATTTGCAACACCGCAACTTGCAAATTGTCTTTGAGGACAAGCTGTCAACTCAGCACTTGAATTAAGCTGCTGTTTGCCAAACAATGAGCAAGTCTGACCTAATAGGGCACCATCTGGCAACCTGCCACTGGGGAGCTGTGTGGAAGCGGGCGGGGGAGCCTGTCAGGGTGTGTGAAACTCCCGCAGTTTGTCAGCGGAAGGGAAAGTAATAAACAGCCAACACCAAAAAGTGAAACCAAAGGTGATGAGACTCCTCCGATGAGCCTCAACTCTCATTATCTTTGGGGGGGGGGCCACATCAGCTCCCCTCTGACAGGGGAGGCAGGGTCAGGGACTACTTCTCCGCAGGATGGACACATGATGCTGGAAGCCGCCAGCCTGGAGCAGCGCGGGAGTGATGGGGCATGGATGGGCTCCAGCCGTCTGCGTGTGGGTGGGGCCCAGAGAGGACACCCTGCAGCAGCTGGGATTGGGAAAGGGCCCTTGTATTTAGAGGAGGAGGAGGCTGAACAGCAGCTGAATGATAAACAGCAACAATGATTAGCAATACAGTAAATAGCAGCGTCGTGAGCAGCCTCGCTCTCCTCTGCTGGGTGGAATGAGAACAGCTGATTGCAGGAAGCGGAGATTCCCCGCCTCCCTTCACTTCTGTACTAGGA